GGTAATTAATAAATTCTTGTTATTAGAAAAAGACACAGACTTTAACAATTGTTTTTTGAAGAAAGTCAGGCAATACCTGTATGACAATGCATTTTATACTTTGAATGACTTTTTTAACAGTAGTGCTAAGTTAGTTTAAACTTTGAGATGACATTGTACTTATTCATCATTAATTTATGACTATTCTCCATGTACATATTTGTATATTTATGGAGAAATAAAACTCTTTCTTTCTTTCTTTCTTTCTCCATATGAATAACATGGAAATTTTAAATTTACAATTTTTTTAATTTTCTCCGTTACTAATAACCGAACAAAAATACTTTTATACACTAAATTATTTGTTTTTTTTAAGCTCTTTAAAAATGTCTAAAGAGAAATTGGGAAATTTTGTGTTTTGAGGGTCAAAAGTGAGAAAAACCAATTTTTACCCCATAAAACCCCCCGTAAAGACCCGTTCCCATTGTCCGATCATGCTGGTTCGCGAACTCATTCAAGTTTATCCTGCTTTACACCTTTAAACCAAATTTCATCAAAATCGGACAAAAATTACTCAAGTTATCGCGTTCACGGACGTATATATAGCAGGGTGTCAACTACATTCTGGATAAAAAATTCATGGACAATTCCCGTACATTTAAGGACACTTTGCCGTAACCTTTGTCGGTGTCATTAGGCCTACCGAATAATTTTCCTGATTTGTCAAACTGTATTAATCTTGTTATTCACTGTAGTTGTACCAGAGAGAAAAGTAAATAATAATAGATAAGAGTTAAAAATAACAAAATAGAAATTTATTGAAGTAAACAAATATAGGCCTACCTATACTTTAGGTAAAGCTTTTATAGTGTAACAGAGAAACGCAATCATTGTCTCCTGCGATAGGGACAAATATCTCCATCAGTCACGTAAACTTCATAACATAGCTTATCCGATCCAGGCCGATTAATTTGGCATGATTCGCCCTGGCACAACGTTAGGTTCTCGACTACTTTTGAAAAAAAATCTTTAATGCATATTGTTACTCAATTCTTCAAGGTTTGGTAAGCGGCTATTAATAAGCAATAAGCACAGAGTAAGATTATTGTATTTTCATTTGCAAAGTTAATATCAACACATAGCAATCATTAGTTGTTTATCTTAGGCTCAATTACATTTTCTTAATATATTTTACAGCTCTTTCAAGAATCAAAATACCCAGGCCTAGACCTAATTATTTAGGAGGGCCTATATAAACTGAGTAACAAACAATGAGGTTATAATAGCAGCAAAGTCACTATCATCATTCTAGTTCATAAGATATTGATTGCTTAAAGCATACAACTCAATAAATAAATATATGGGAAACAAAAAACATTGAAACCTGAATAGCCAACAATATAAGACAAAGATACAGAAAATGCAATGACATAATTTGAAACCAAGCAGGCCTACATAGTGGTAAAACATTAATGCAAACAACAATGCTTGTGGTTTTGTCAATTGAAAGATAAAATGTCCATAAAAAAGGGGTTAACTTACAAAATAAGACTGTAGATTATTTACATGTTTGAAGTGAAATTTAACAGCCATTAAAAAGCTATTATTTTCACGTTAAAATATGTTTGGGATCTAATAATAATTACCCTAGTAATAAAAAAAGAAGTTGTAAAGGAATTAAAGTGATACAACTTTTATGAGCTAGCTGCTGAGTCAACAGTTCTTGGAAGTACTTAACTTGACACTTGATTGTCGTGATAAAATATTTATGGGTTTGAGATTGTTAATGGGATTTTTATTGCATAATTACTCTAGTAATAAATTATGAAAATGTAAACAAACATCTGATAAACCTTTTATGTGCTCCCAACCAACTAGCGATCAATAAAATTATGGCCCATTAAAAATTTAAGGACATAGTCTAGCATTTAAGGACAATTCCGTACATTTCATGGCCAGTAAAAATTTAAGTACAATTCCCGGTTTTCCCGGATTTCCCGGTTGGTAGACACCCTGATATAGGCCTATATATATTCAGGGTACTCTGGCTTTTATTATTTTGCTTATTAATTGAAAAAGTAGCCCTAAAACGTGAACAGAACTATAAAAAAATAAATATATACATATATAAAAATTTGAACGAATGGTGTTTTTGGCCTCTGGGGACATCAAAATGAAAAAGTAAATTGGTCCCGGGTCTAGGACATACCGTGTCACCTACGGTAATAGCTACTTCCCTATAGGGAAATTCGCTAAAAACCCATTATTGTAGTTGTTTATTTTATGAACTAATACTATATGGGACCGAGCTTTAGAGAAAATTGTGATATCATGGAAAGTTTATTAATGGTTATATTTTAAAACATATAGAACTAAGCTCATAAAGTTACGCAACAATGATGATTTAGTCAACTTCCTGGTTTGGATTTTGTGGTTGATAGTCATTAATTAGGCGAAACAATAGTAACACGGATAAAATAGCTCTATTATCTGAAATAAATATATTATTTATATAAAAATCTTATAAATTAGAGTGCAAATCCTGTGTTTTTGTAATGTGTAATTAATTTATTGCCATTTACACTTGATTTATAGTTGTTTTAGCAAAGTAAAACAAACACAAAAGGATATTTTTTTTAAGTTAGCCTACATGAAAGTCGATTTAGGCACCATCTAACAAAGTTTGTACCATTTATGGGACAGTAAAGTATTTTTGAAGAGATTTATGAACATCATTTTGTTGTCAAATGTTTTATGTTCAAAGTATTATTGTTAAAACATGTAATTTACCGTGCAAAATTATGTATTATTGTTATGTGTAATAGGTTTATTGCCATTTATACATAACTAGCAGTTACCCGGCGCGCGTTGCTGCGCTTAACAACTATTATTGTAAATGGTAATTTGTTCTTTACGATGAATAATAAAAGTGTGTACCAAAAATAAAAATAGAATATTTTACTTAATTGCCAGTGAATAGGGCCTAAACAATTTTTTTTTTGTTTTTTCTATAAGTTTTTAGACGTACCTACCACCACGTGAGCACGCAACATACAGCTGTCCGTGTGAAAAGCATGCATTTTCAAAATTTAAACCGACGATAGTCAGGGTTTGCCCTAGTGCCTTATAATGGTGATTGGGAAAGAAAGACAAAAAAAGGAAATTGTAGTTGCTTCAATTCAGAGGGTAATTTGGATGAAGTCATCAGTATTCTTGGGATTAAGACTATTTCTCCTTTTAAGTGAATTTAAGTTTCGCATTAGTATTAATGGAGTTCCTTCTTTTAATGCCAGTAATGGCATTTGAATACCTGAGATAGCACGCACGATTATTATTCACTTAATAATTTATGTTAGATTGTGTGGGTATAGAACAAAAGATAAAAATATTAAGGCATTACCATCCCTTTTATTGTTTATAATACTTTAATCAAGGTTTTTATGTTTACATATTCAACATTGGAGAATTTAAACGTTGTTGAGTGCACAGGTGTGCTGCGATTGGGGTTTAATATATTTGGACTTATTCAAAAGTAAAATAGTTTTCTGTGCTGCACTCTGTAGAAACATTGTGGCACTATTTCAAATCATGACTAATACAGAACGTTGTGATTATTCAAACCAACAAAACAGTTGGTGAAAGAAAACATCTGCTTTTAAATTATATTTATTTGTAAACATTGTAGTTCAAAAAGTCTGACATTGTCCCACTTAAAACCCTCTGGGGCGGAGCCCTTTTGACGGATCTGCACCAAACTTCACAAAAACCATCCTTGAAAGATGCTTAATAATTCCTGAAAGTTTCATTACAATCTGTCGAGCGGTTTCGGAGTCCATAACGTTCAAACATATATATATATATATATATATATACATACAAACTTCCTCTTTTATATAGATATAGATTTTTAGTTGTTTGAGCAAAGTTAAATTTACCCAACAAAATAAATTTGTTTTAATATCCTTATCAAAAGTTTGTAAACAGGCTTCAATGTATTGTTCAATATAGGACCGATTTAGTCATCATTTAGTTATTAATTACACAAAATAATTATTAAATTAACGTGAATAGCAAATTACAAATTATTGGATTATAGTATAATTAGTAGGTAATAATATATTTCGGTACTCTATCAACCCGTCTTAAGGCAGACTCTAGCCATCGACAGTAGAAATACTGGTGATGAAGGGCCTGCTACAGCGAGACAGTTGTGATCGTCTGTAGAAGCAGCAATGAGTGCAGACTGCTGAGTAACAACCGGTGTATATTCATAGTTAGGCCCCTAGAAAATAACTAGTCATGTTGGCACAGCTTCCTTATTTAGTTCACTTCTCATATTATTTCTAAAGCAGTTAGGTTCAAGAAGCAGTTCACACACTAAACATGAATGTAAAGCAGTGTCAGGAAGGCCTTTCAGTTTTTCGTTTGCCGTGTTTGCTACCCATGACATACACTCTTATTTTAATAGGAAATTTGAAAAATCTCAAACTCGGACTGTTAATACGAGTCGACAGACAACCAATAAAAGAGCACGCCACCAGGCATTCAAGAAAATATCCACATCAAAATACAATTGTAATTTACTACACACCTTCTTCACTCCTGTTAATCCATCTTCCAATAATCCTCTAGTTACTTACATAAGTAAACAAACACAAAATAAAGGTTAACCATAACACAATAAACAACAACAAAAATACATAAATAACAGCTGGTCATGTCGGCAATTGGGTCTTTGGTTGTGAAGGCATTCGCTAGGCCTCGCAGGAAAATTGCTATCACAAAAATGCCTTGGCTGCAATATCTATTTTGCGTAGCATGTGTAATCTTTGAAATTACATTCAATAAAAGAGTTTGTTCAAATGTGTGCAATTATTTACTCTAATTTAAAGTCACAACACAAACTAAGTAGTTGAAAGATTCAAAGACACATTATCAATTCCAAATCAACTTACATCACAAAATGTAAACTAATTAAAATACTTTTTAAGGCTAAGTGAATTTAAAAATTAAAGTCTCACCTGTACAAATGCTTTGGTAGCTAACATTGACCACATTGCCCCAGGAGTCAACTGTAAATAGAATTTCAATCCAATTCGGGATAAAACAAGCTGTGAAAGTATTTTTTCTGACAATTTTCAGCTTGCCCCATTTTCTGAAAGAATCATCAAGAATTAGTCGATTGGTTGAGAAAATTATTTTTGCTTACATTTGATTGACTTGGGTAAAAAAGTCTGTTGCATGTAATTTCTCAACTTAAGAAGACATGGTAATATCAAACAAACTTTCAAGGACAATTAGTAAATTATGTGTTTTTGCCATTTATGTCTCATTATATTCTCATTTTTCAATGGAGAGGGAAGAGAGTTAACAGATGGCTGTTCTGTATCGATATTTCAGTATAGATAGATAGACCTTCATACTTTAACAGGGTGTATACTATATTTTTAAAGTGAAATTCCAGGTTTGTTCTTAGTTTTTCAAAGTTTTTCCAGGGTTCCACGTGAATGTTTCCCACGTCAACATTATATTAATTCCCACGTGAATGTTTAGTTCCACTTAAAGCTTTGCAGTTGTATTTATTGTTCTCTTTTCCTTCCCTATAGAACAGGAAAGCCATACTTAGTGGCCCTCTCTATTTGTTTAATGACGCGACATTGTCAGCACTGAAGGTAGCCCTGCAGCTCGGGCCGGCCACGCCTAGTGGCCCTCTACGCAATTCCTGTACAGCTTGGGTGGCCCCCTCTTTCCCTTCATTCAGTAGATTCATTCAGCTAATTCTAATTTCAAAGGATAGACATTATATTTTGAATCATGGGAAGTTTGAAATATAGAGAGTTTTCATTTATAGAGGTTAGAATAAATAAAATTTGAATTATGGAGGTCCCAGTTTTAAGTGTAGAGAATTTGAAAGAACGGATACCAATGAACACAACGTGGGAACATCAATAAGAGGGTCAGTTCATGTTTCAACATGCATATTTTTTGTCCTGAATTTTAATTACAGAGGCTTACTGTCACAGTTTGAATTATAGAGGTTGATTTAAAATTTTGGAGGTAACAGCATAGATAAAAGGAGTATAGACACAGATACCCCACAAGATAGGCAAGTCGCCTTGGATTTTTTATTTTTTAAATTTTGGTCAAGTTGAAAAAATAATTTTAGCCGCCATGTTTCCTATATGACCGCCAACTTTGATTTTTCTTATGGAAGACCCTATATTTTAGGATTGTTTTGGAAAGTTAAATGCAATTAAAAAATGTTTTTATTCTTGGCAATTTTTCTCTAAAGCTACTCGTTTAGGAGTTACAACGTGTTACAACTAAGAAAAAATGACTTGCGTTTTACATTCTGCATCATGTATCTCCTAAACGACTACGTTTAGAGCAAAAATGCAAGAAGTAAAATATTCTTAAAATTGCATCTAGATTCAAAAAATACCATAACATACATAACAAATATTGATTCCATCGTTTCAAAAATGGCAGTGAAATTTTAAAACAGGAAAACGGTGTATGTTATGGTCTTTTTAGAATATTTATGCAATTCTAAGAATATTTATTTACTCTTTGCATTTTCGCTCCAAACGTACTAGTTTAGGTGCTACATGATGCAAAATGTACACCGCAACTCCGTAAGTCATTTTCTCGGTTGTAACACGCTGTAACTCCTAAACGAGTAGCTTTAGAGAAAAAATTCCAAGATTGGAAACTTTTTTAAATTGCACTCAATTTCTAAAACAATCATTAAATATGGGTCTTCCATACGACAAATCGAAGTTGGCAACCATATTGGAAAATGGCGGCTAAAATTATTTTTTCAACCTGAACAATTTTTTTCATAACAAATCCAAGGTAGTTACGATTTAAAATTTTGTCATATCTCTTATAACTTTTGAATAGAATAGCTGGCACACTTATATCAAACACCCTGGAATTTCATCGAACATTAAAACTACGTCTCAAATCGCGCGTGGGTTGGTCTAGTTTTGTATGTAATTTTAAGTACAATTCACTTTTTATGAACTGTACACATTACAATTACAACTTTGAATATTAGATTTACTGTCCACATTAAATTTACAACAATTTCCGTGCTTATGTCAAGTGCAAACGCTGATCGGTCTGCACAGCAAAATCCCATAACAGTTACTTTCCGTGCAAAGAAAGTTAAAATGATGAAATTTTGCCGTGCAGTATCGGGAATTAGTATATTTCATAACAAGAGTGGCAAGTCTGCAAAAAATTTCATATTTGACATCATGTTTGCAGTGCGAAAATTATCGAGTACTTTAAATGGTCGAAAATATGTATAGACCCATTTTCTATTCCAAAAATACTACAGGGTGAGGCAATGAAAGCGGCCCAATTTATAAATTGTACTAACTCCATTATATTATAAATTAAACATATTCACCCAATAGATATAAATACCACATCAAAACACAGCTTATTTTTGGCCAATTGAGCTTAAAGTCATTTTTTCATTCCTTGAAAACAAAATCCTGCAAGTGACGTCCTTGTCCCACTTGACACTCCTTTTTAGTCACTTGAAAACTCCATCAAATACTCCTCCAGCATTTCTTCAGGAATCACTTTAGTTTTGGACAATTCTTAGCTTCCGTTTAAGCAAATCTGTGGGGCGACTTAGAAAAAACCTCGAACTTCAAGTAGCTTATCAGAATACCCCCCCCCCCCCTAAAAAAAGAGCCAACGTAAAGCTTTCAACAACAAAAGCTTCCTGGCAAATCTCTTCGGACTTCGAGTTACTGCGGCTCACACTTTTACAGCATTTGCTGGTGTACAAAGGGTTTTGCGGCCCCAACCGATTATTTTTTCGTTTTAAGCTGTTATACTAAATTATTTTACCCAGTTCACCGTTGTTTTCCAATTTGGAACAGCACCATATTGACCAAGGATGGAATGTGGTCCAAACAATCTCTGGGGTTTTGTACAAGAATCACTATTTTAGAAATGGGTTTCCACATCAAAATCTGTCTTAATAGCCTCAGGCATAATGTTTACTAAAATGACATAGTTTAATTTACATTATAAGCAGAGCTGTTAATTAATTGTGGCTTTACTTATAGTGTGACAACGAAAGAAAATTGGGGTGCTCTCACTGCTTCACCCTGTATTTCTTTATTACAAAACTCATAGAATCTTTAGGTCATACCTTCAATTTAAAGTTAATGTTTACTTTTAGTTGTTGAAAATTTAAACAGTTTATAAAACAATTACAAATATTATTGTTTGTTTACATCGACAAAATACAAAAATAAAAATAGTAAACATACTCTCGCATAGTAAAAAATCTTTTTCACCACAATATGATGTTATTAGCTGTTTTACATACGTTAATTAGAGGCTGAAAGTTACGTTTTGCTGACCGTACCAGCTGTCATCGTCATTTGGGGACCAAACAGGTTTTTACATCCCTAGGACCGCAAAATCAGCTGCCCGCTTGCATATTAAATACAAAACAGTATCCATAACATTGCAATATAATTGTTTTATTTTCACCGTTGCCTAGCAACGGTTTATTATTATTTTTGCTGATTCCTTAAATTACTTCTTCACATAACCTTAAAGTTGCGTTTGTGAATAGTAGTAGTGTGGTGAAAAATAGTGTTCGTACCACGGACCAAAAATGGTTTTGCAGCTCTCGATCGTTCTCGACTTGGTCTCGAACTTAAAAACCCCGAGCCGGCAAAACCTCATTTTCGGCCCTAGGTACGAAATATACTATTGCCATAGTAAACAATGTAATAACAGATTTGTGCAGGTGATAAATATGCAACGAAACATGTCATTTTACAGTAGTGTAGCGAAAAACCTATTTTCTTAGCTCATTGTACGTTTAAAAAAAGTTTACTTTCGCCTGTAGAGTATTGAAAAGAACATTAATTGCCAATATACAAACTATAATATCTTAATTGAAAGTACTGTAGATAAATCTCTTATTACATGTACTCACACTTGTTTACGGACAATTTTAATAGATATATTCGAGAAACGAAAATATTGAACTACCTTTAAAAAGCCAAAAACTAATACTCTCATTTTGTGAAATAACTTTCCCAACTTTATAATTTAGATATGAAACAATATACAGAAGGCATCAAAAAGAACATGTAGGGCAAAGACAATTGATACCTAATAATTGTATGCTTTGAGTTCGTAAACCATATCTAAACTCTGATTTGCTTAATTATTTATTTGGCTTACCTCATGGCTGTGTACAGCCCACAGCCATGTAGTAGGTTTATTTAATCAAACTGTGTAATTGATTTAGGGGGTATTTTTAAAATTTTGTATCCCCTCCCCGCTGAAAATCATGGGTATAGTGGACATTTATTTATGTTTAAACTAGTTGAATGAGTTGAATGAAGTCCCTAAAAAGCTCAAAATATAAAACAAATTATTGTAATATCTAAAAGAAAACTAAGAATTACATTTTTTTATTTTCAAGATGGATATCTTTGTACACAATTTTATCTTTGTATAAAACGTATCTCTGTTGACTTTGGTTGTTGTTGTATACATATATATCGTTTCAATAATAGATAACGTGATCCTTGGTTTTAAATATAGTTCAAGAGTTTTTATTCATATTTTGCGCATGTATTAAGATTGAGGTCAATAAGATAGCCATACAGAATTTCAACGCTGTAGCTCAAACGGTGAGTTATGAATGTTTTTGTAAAAATCACATAGGACAATGTTAAATTTTTTGTTTCTTTTAACAGCTGAATAACGTGACAAAGTTTGTTCATATGTGTACAAGACACCCTGAATAGCACTTATTCTCTGTTTGGAATGTTTCAAATATTTAAAAAAATCCTCCACGTTTTAATGCATAGGTTACATATTGCTTAGACTCCTGCATATAAAAACTAAAAAACAATAATTTAAATATATATGTTCTCAGTCTTAAATTTAATTTTTTTAATTGAAAACAAATATATATTACATTTTAAATTGAGTATATAAAATGTTTTTAGTTTATGGTAAACGTACAACAATATTCAACCAATTAATGTTATGTTTATTACACAAAGTCTTTAAGATTTTCAGAAGAAAACATACAGTATTTCATTGAAGCTCATCACTGGACAGAGCAGCAGAAGAGCGTGAGCGAAGTGCGTTGCGGGT